ACAGTTGTTTTATGACTTACCGAGTTAATTGGTTCGGGTGCGGAAGGATTTCGGAGTGAATTAGGACACTTAGTCTCATAATTGAAAACTTAAGTTGTAAAGGTTGAACGGATGTTGACTTATTTGTAAATGACCCCGGATTTGAATTTTGATGATTCTGTTAGCTCCGTTGGGTGATTTTGGACTTAGGAGCGTGTCCGGATTGTCATTTAGAGGTCTGTAGTGGAATTAGGCTTGAAATGGCGAAAGTTGCAGTTTTGGGAATTTTGACCGGGAGGTTGACTTTTCGATATCGGGCTGGATTCCAATTCTGAAAATTGGAATACCTCAGTTATGTCATTTATGACTTGTGTGCAAAATTTGAGGTCAATCGGACTTGATTTGATAGGTTTCGGTGTTGAATGTAGAAGTTGGAAATTTTTAATTTCATTAAGCTTGAATTGGGGTATGATTCGTGGTTTTAGTATTGTTTGAGGTGATTTGAGGGTTCTACTAAGTTCGTATGATATTTTGTGACTTGATGGTATGTTTGGTTGAGGTCCCGGGGGGCCTCGGGTGAGTTTCGGATGGTTAACATAATGAATTTTGAACTTGAAACTTGGCTGGAAATTTTCTGATGCCTATGTATGGTTTCCTTCTTCGCGTTCGCGAGTGGTCTCTCGCGTTCACGAAGGGGAACTTGAGGCAGGCAAGTTTTGCTCTTCGCGTTCGTGAGAGGGGTGTTGCATTCATGAAGAGAAGCTGGGGGCAGGCGAGGTTGTCAATTGCGTTCGCGATTGGGTATCACGTTCGCGATTGGGTATTGCATTCGAGAAAAGAAAATAGCTGGTGTGGATTTTTGCCTTTGCGTTCGCGAAGGTTCGCCCGGTAAAGCATCGTGTTCGCGAGCTGTGTCTCGCGTTCACGAAGGGCAATGTATGGACAACACAATTTTGTGCTTCGTGAACGCGAGGGACCTGTCGCGTTCGCGAAGAAGGAATGCCTGGAGAGAATATTTAAGTTCTGAAAATGGGACTCCATCCCATATTCCATTTTTAACGGATTGCAGCTCGGGAATAGGCGATTTTTCGGAGATTTTCAAAGAAAACAACGGGATAAGTATTCTAAACTCATTATTGGTCAAATTACCCGAATCCATGGCTGTTTTTAACATTTAATGGGTGAATTAAGTTGGAAAGTTTAGAAAGCCCTCTTGGTTTAATGTGAAGATTTGAGGGTCGAGTTGATGTCGAAATTAGGTAAAATTGGCATGGTTAGACTCGTAGATGAATGGGCTTTCGGATTTTGTAACTTTTGTCGGGTTCCGAGACGTGGGACCCACGGGCGATATTTGGATGAAATTTCGGATTTTTAATGGAAAATTTGTATTTTCATATGGAATTAATTTCTATAGTTTTTATTGACTGAATCGGATTAATTGTGGCTAGATTCGAGGCGTTTGGAGACCTATTCGCTGGACAAAGGCATTGCAGAATAAAAAATTATACGGTTTGAGGTAAGTAACAGTTCTAAATTTGGTTATGAGGGTATGAAACCCCGGATTATGTGTTCACTGAGTGGTTATGAGGTGACACACATGCTAGGTGACGGGCGTGTGGGCATACACCGTAAGAATTGTGACTTGGTCAATTCCATGGAACTGTGTAGATGAATAATCTGTTGACATCCGTACATTTTTAACGTATTTAGATAAATTAATCTATAAATCATGTTTAAACTTTGTGTTGACATTGTTGGGATCCATAGAGGGAGTGTACATGTTTAATTATCTGCTAAATTGTTGTTTCATACTCAGTAGTAATTTTTACTTGCATATTACATCTCAGTCTCTCTTATTCATTATTGATGCATCATACTATTGTTATTGGGCTGCTTATCATGATTTAAAAGAGCCTGAGAGACTGGAGACGTTGATGACTGAGTGAGGCCGAGGGCCTAATTGTGAGGATATTTATGGGATTGGCCTGCACACCGCAACATGTTTTGTTGATTTATGCCATGATTGGCTTGTTATAGCGCTTGGGCTGAAGGAGCCTCTTTGGAGTCTGTACACACCCCTAGTGAGCGCAGGTACCTACTGAGCACGAGTGCGAGTGCGAGTGCCGAGTGCCGAGTGCTGAGTGATTGAGAGGAATGGGTGACTGTGAGGAAAGAGTGACTGTGAGGTTGGAGTGAATGGGAGGACTGAGTGACTGTTACTCTTAGAGGGTGCATTGATTTCATCATTGCTGCATTTCAGCTGTCATATATCACTATTTAGGAAATTTCTAAAAGACATTATCTTCTGTTTTAGTCCAAGCTGATATGAAATTACTGTGGAATTTTAAATGTTGAATATGAGAGCGCATGCCTACCCTTTTATGTTGAAAATTACTGTATTTGGACTTAGCTGTGAAGCTCGTTACTACTCTCAGTTCTTATTTATTATTGTTATTTACTGAGTTGGTTGTACTCATACTACACCCTGCATTTCGTGTGCAGATCCAGGTGATCCCGGACACAGTGGGTGTGGATTCTTTTGCATAGTTGATTTTTCGGAGATTTAGAGGTAGCTGCCGTATTTCGCAGACCTTGTCTCTCCTTCCCCATCTCCTTGTTTACTGTATTTGGTCTCAGACTATTATAGACCGTGTTGTCCAGATTTGTAATGTATAGATACTCATGTACTCAGTGACACCGGGTTTTTGGGAGTGTATTTATATCCAGTAGTTGTGGGATTTACTCTTAAACTTAATTATTATGTTTTCCGTATTTAAAAGAAAGTGTGGGTTATTGATATTGTCGGCTTGCCTAGTATTGAGATAGGCGCCATCATGACATGTTAGGATTTTGGGTCATGACATTTATGGCCTTTTCTAATTCTTTATCTTGTCCGCTAGTCTGCTACTATCTCCCAAAAGCAACGAATAGTCAATTTTTTTATTTTTTGCAAATACAAAGAAAACTTCATTTTTCATTATATCAGCAAGTTCAAAGTTCATATTGCAGGTTAGTCATCATTTTTGTTCCTCCATGTAAATTTTTTTATTTTTTTCAACTCAGGTTAATTTTGCTTGTAAGTAATGTATAATGGATTATTTTGACTAGTTTTTTTGAGGATGGAGCATATCTATATATATTTTTCACATATTTATAGTTTTCTTTAATTTTTATGTAATTTTACCTATTTATAAATATTTATTGTAATTATATTATTTTATGAAATATTAAAAAATTAAATACTTATGGGGCTTACACCTCGCTCAGCTATATGTAAAACGACTCGCCTTACGCCCATGCTTTTTAAAACACTGGTCAAAACTAATTTATTATAAACAACTTTACTAAATACAGCTCTTCGAAAATTTTGATTGGAAGTTTGAAAATTTGTGTTTTCAATAATGGCATTATTCCTGAATGACACACATAATCACAAAATAAACACATTCACAATTTGCTATTCACATATTATTGGCTTTTAGTTTTGTTTTCTCTTTACTTCCAAAAATAAATGCTCCATTCATTAGTATTTGGCTCCTCTCCATTTCCTCAAGTTCTTACTCGGTTGAGTGACACATGTCACATTTTAATATATATTATATTAACTAAAACCAAATCTTAACCATGGTTAGAACTTAGTTAATACTGAATATTTCCCATTAATTGCTGATATTTCCTCTACTTTTTCCATCTATGCACCTAAAATTATTTTTTATCGCCCAAAATTTGTTTAATCCCAACAATCTTGGCAGCCGAGAAAATTTATCAAATTCAAACCAAGGAAATCAAGTACAGTTAATATCGTCAGACCTATATTTTTTAAGATAACAACAAGATTGACACTGACTTATAATCTAGGGTAAGTGACCAAAGTTGAACTCAAAGTTGGTGTGCCTCAAAATAATTATTTTTTATCGCCCAAAATTAGTTTAATCCCAAAAATCTTGACATCAGAGAAAATTTATCAAATTCAAACCAAGGAAATCAAGTAGTGTTAATATCGTCAGACCTATATTTTTCAAGATAACAACAAGATTGACATCGACTTATAATTTAGGGTAAGTGACCAAAGTTGAACTCAAAATTGGTGTGCCTCAAAATAATTATTTATGGTCAGATATTTGGCAACGACATGAAGCATATACTTAATAAGAGAAGCATTTGTTCCTAATAGATTGATATAGAATAGATTGAACAGTCATGGACGCTTCTGCACTTCTTCTACTCACTAGACCTATCTTTGAAGACGACGTCAGATATGAAATGTCAACAATCCCTAATATGGACCAGTTCTGCCGCCCCTCTGAATATGCGGAAGAGAATAAAAACTTTTAGGGATTTACAAAATTAAAGGCTGCACCAACATTGATTACGCGTATATATATATATATGTATTAATGTATATGGAATTAGAGAAACCAGTAAGAATGTGACAAGAAATCCAAAATATATGGGATACTAGATTGTACATGTAAACTAAATCAGAGGGCATAACTTGATGGATGAAATCCTTTACAACATGTAAGTTAATTAAGAGAGATTCATTGCGATATCACGAACAACGATGTGTATAGTACTTATAAGGGTTCAAATTGTTAAGTGTTCAAAAAAAATATAAGAAAATTGTAGTAAGATGGTGTTGTGTGTATGTGTGAAAGTAAGATATATTTTTTCTCACTCAAAGCGCAGATACATTTCCTATCTTTCCTAATGGGTCTCGCAATCGAAACAACAAAAGATAATTGTTTTCAGCGAAACGAACAAGATATACTAGAGGAATAATATAGGTAAAATCATGGCAAAATTATTAAGTGATACTCCATATACACGAATACAAGTAAAATCTTCTGGCAAGCTTCTCTTAAGAAGTTTGTTCGGATGAGACACTATTACTTAGCTAGAAGCTCTACTTTTCTATAAGTTTCATTGAGTAAACTTCATTCAATAAAGTTGTAAACTGATTGCTGCTCTCTCCTTCCCTGCGTTCTGGTTCCACCATTCATTATTCAAGATTGTGAAGATTAACAGCAAATTATATCACCAAAATCGTCAATATCTAGGAGCACATCATCAGCCCAATAGATCTGTTCTTGGTAGTTGGAGCAGTCATTAATATAGCTGCTATTATTATGTTCGTTCATCTTCTGAGTCTCGTCCATGACTTGATGTTCGGCTTGACAAATTGGTGTTGGTTGTACTGTTGTGCAGTAATCTTCATCAGGTTCATGCAACATAGCTTCGATTATTTTGGCAACATCTTGTTCCTCCATAGTTACCCCATGATTTTTATCAGCTCTTATATTCTTCTTGATTCGGCACACAATAATATCCTCCTTAGGAATACTATTTTCTCTAAAGAAATCATCCCCGACGGAATATTCTTTCATCAGCCAAATTTTATTGTGCTCTCCTTCTTTTCTACGACTAGTTTGAAACTTGAAACATCTTCTAAACCCAACCACAGTTCCCTTACCATTCTTGATAGGATCAATACCTATTTGGCCTTTCCATGTCCCGTTGGCGCAAGTTCGACGTACCCTTGTATGTTCGCTCTTGTGCTTCTTCAACCGAGTAAAAAAATAGCGAACCTTCTTTTCGGGATGATCAGAAGCTCCAAATATCTCCCATGGTGGTTGGTCTCCATAGATATCGGCAAGTTGGAAATTAGGGCATTCACTTGGCAAAGGCTCGCCCTTTAGGAACCTTTTCAGAAAGTTTATCAACTCTGCTTCAGTTGGGTGAAACCGAACACCGATGGTATGACGGCGTGCAACTGGTACCGTCGACATGGTATATATGGTCGTCTCTTTTTCTTGCTTATAGAGAAACACAAGAATGAGACAATAGCAATTGCCGCAATATGCAAAGACAAGAACCACTATTGTTCTCTCAAGTTAGAAGACGAACTATGAAACGAAACCCTAAACGAATGGAGGAAGTTTATTGACGTGAATGCTGTAATTGACTATTTATAGATATTTGATCAGGTTAATTCCAACAGAGAAAATTTAAGAAATAAATTTTTAGGAGAGGAAAAGGTGTTGATTTCTGCGGAAGGTTAACGCTCGGGACTTAAGTTACTTTCTTTATTGATTTTCACAATACGTAAGTTTTTTTAACTAACTTAATACTCCGCAATTTAATAGAAGAATCTGAAAATATAATTTGCTTACCTTTTTCTCGATTTCATTTTATTTATTTTAACATACTTTCATTCTCCAGTATATAGAAAATTTCTAGTAAATAGTTTTCTTAAAAAAATAAAGAAAGATTAAGAAATTAAAGAATAATGTACTTACTTTCCTCTTTTCCGTTTTCAAGGTTTTTTAATTTTTTACTTTAGGTAATTAACTGCAATTTGGTCTAATAGAAAATTTCTAATTTACAATTCTTGGGAGGGTTGCGCTTGGGACTCAAGTTACTTTCTTTCCTTATATTGCCATTCCTATTTCCTAAGCTACTAGTTACCTTCTCTCTTTTTTCGGTTGGATACTAGTTTCCTTTTACTTTCTTTTATTTATTTACATCTTATTTATTTTTTCTAACTCCATTCATCCGATAAAAAATTTCTAGTTAACAATCTATATATATATATATATTAAAGGAATAAAGTTTGTCTTGTCATTTAGTCAAGTGACAAGTTATTAACAAGTCAAGTGGCAATCTATTAACAAGCCACTTGAAAACCTTATTAAAATAAAAATAGATGTTATAATACACAGATTTTTCGGAAAAGAAACATTCAATCATCCCTTTTTATCGGCTCTTTTCTAGAAAATCTCCTTTACATAAAGTTAATTTTATATTTTTTCATCTAAATAAATTAATAATTATTGAAAATTACAGATACACCAAAACTTAAACAAAAGAACCGTACATATATTTGCTATACCTTCTTATATCTATCTCTTCCTAAAAACGTTCCTAATTCTCATGTTAACTCAATTGTCAAGAGCACTTGATCATGGAAGATCAGAAGCAACTCGCAACAAGAAATGGTGTATGTATACCAAATCAGAAACGGGCTAAACACTCCTCGGATCGGAATGGTTAATATCGAAAATGAAGGGATTTCTACTTAGAAAAGATTCAAAATTTCCGAGCAACTATTACATTTTACCATCTCCAAACAAAATCCAAGTTGAGGTATGTTTGTTGAGATGATATTTATTCTGCTAGCCACTTTTCTTAGCAAGTGCTCATGACTTTCCTCCTTAATGTTTGATATAAATCCTAAATTAGTTGCTTGGATTTCTAATTTTTTTTGCCCTTTCATTTTATGGGCTGAATTTATTACTAGAACTAATTTTAAACCTCTCCGGGCACTGAGAAGGCTCTATATAAAAATCAATCAAACATTTTTCGGTTCTTTTTATGAAATGTTTTTTTCATAAAATTTATGCCCCTAAGCACATGTATATTGTTTCTTATTTATATCAAGTAAAACGATTATGAGAATATATATTATATACTTTACATATATATATATAGAAACTGAAAATACTTTGATGAGGGAATAATACTTAAAGTTGCTGGTGGTTTAATGCTTGAACATCNATTTTACTTATGTCTCATAGATTTCGAAGGTGTAATATAATAATTTGTGCTAATTTATGGTATTTTTTTGTGTATGAATCATTCGGAGGCAATTTGGGACGAATGTGCGCGAATTGAATTGAAAAGGGGAAGAAAAGGGAAAAAATCACAAAGCAGCGCCACAGGCAGCATGGGGCGCTATTGTGTTGCTGAAGTAAGAATGTTAAAAAGTCCAGTGCCCCACGCTGCCCTGGGCGTACTTGACGGAAAAATTTTCCTAGTTCGCCCGGGACAAGGTTATTTCGGCACAAGACCCCCCCCCCAAACGCGTATAAATGCAAGACTAAGCTTAATGGTTAGGATAGGAATATACCTAGTCACCATGCTTAATTAAATATCGTAATTTTAATGCGTTCTTAATAGATTTATTCCATAGGAATATATGCATTAATCTATTTTGAATATGAGAGTGGTAATTCAGGAGAATACTACGAGAGCAATTATTCAATTAATTAGCAACCATGAATGAATTGTATGAAAGGGGGAGTTAATTAAAAGACAATAGGATTGGTGAATCGATCACAACCCTGGAATATTCGTCTCTACTGAATACACAACAACTATTTTGCTGCTTGATTAATTAGTTACTTGTTAGAATTATTGCTTAGTATAATTATACTTTTGAACTCTGATTGACTCAACTGAATAATAATCTTGATGAAACTAGTGGGCAATTAACATAAGTCTCTGTGGGTTTGATACTCGATTTATCACTTTATTACTTGTACGACCACGTATACTTGCGTGTGTGTCTGGGAGCAACAAGTTATTGGCACCGTTGCCAGAGACATGAATATTGACTAGTTTCTAGTTTTTACTGTAGTTGTTTATTTCGTCAATTCTAACATTTCTTAATGGTTACTCTCGTATCAAGAACTTGGATTGAATGCGAAGGGTCAAAAGCCATGATAGACTTCAAGGCTTTGACCCCGAACCTGAGTGAATATTTCAGAGGAGGTTGAGGGAAGCAAGAGACGCAGCAAATATTCAGGCACTTGTTCAACTGCCTGTGAACATGGAAGAGGAGCAACATATGGTTGTTCAAGAGGTGGCGATACCCAGCATTGCTAATGTCACCTCCAGCATTGTGAAGCCTAGAATCTGTAACGACCCGGCTGCTCATTTTGAGAATTTAAGTCCCGTTCGGCGGCATAAGGTCCTGAGAAGCTTCATATTATGTGTATTGACTTGCGTGGTGGTTGAATTCAGTTACCGCACGATTCAGAGTCAAATCGGAAGAAGGATGCATGTTTTGGAAGCTTAAGCGGTAAAAGTTGACCGGAATTTGACTTTTGTGTAAATGGCTCCGGAATGGATTTTGGATGATTTCAACAACTTCGTAAGGTGATTTTGGACTCAGGCGTGCATCCGTATTTTGATTTGAAGGTCCGTAGGGTGATTTGAAGCATTTCGGCGAAAGTTGGAAAAGTTGAAGTTTGGAAAGTGGAGAGGTTTGACCAATAGTTGACTTTGGTGATATCGGGGTCAGAATGCGATTACAAGAGTAGGAACAACTCCGTTATATCATTTGGGACTTGCCTGCAAAAATTTGACATCATTCTGGGTTGGTTTGATAGGTTTCGGCATGCATTTTTGAAGTTGAAAGATTTGGAATATTCATAAGTTCGATTCATGGCGCGATTCATAGTTTCGGCATTGTTTGATATGATCTGAGACCCGAGCAAGTTTGTGTTAGGTTATAGAACTTGTTTATGTGTTTAGACAGGGTCCAGGGGGCCTCAGATGTATTTCGGATGGGCCACGGGTCATTTCCTCCTAATTTGGACTGTTATTTTCTGTCATATGATGTTCTTCTTCGCGTTCGCGTAGTGTTCGCGTTCGCGTAGTGTTCTGCTGACCCGCCTCATATTTCATCTTCGCGTTCGCATTCATGCTCTCGCATTCGCGAAGGTCTGCCTTTTTCCTCTTCGCATTCGCGTCTCTCTTCCCGTGTTCGTGAAGGTATGCCACCCCATCCTTCGCGTTCGCGCACCCCTTCACGCGTTCGCGTAGCCCAGTCATTAGACCATCAAATTTTCCTCTGCGCGTTCGTGAGCCATCTTTCACATTCGCGAAGCATATCTGGGCAGCCTTCATTTTTCCTTCTTCGCGAACGCGAGTAGTCTTCTGCGTTCGCTATGCTTTAACACCTGGGCAGCAGAATATATCTTCCAAATCGAGGGTTAGGCCATTTTTATCATATCTTGACTTTTACAGCTCGATTTTGAGCGATTCTTTGCAGGTTTTTCAAGAAAATCGATTGGGTAAGTGTTCTTCACCTAGAATTTATTATATTCCATAATTTTATCTTTATTTTAATCATTTAATTTGTGTTTTGAGTTGAGAAGGTTTTTGAAGAAACTTTTCAAAATGAAAATTCATGATTTGAGGGACGAATTGGTATCGGAATTTGATAATTTTAGTATGGTTGAACTCGTATCGGTATGGGTGTTCGGGTTTTGTGAGATTTGTCGGGTTCCGAGGTGCGGGCTCGGGGATCGACTTTTGGGTTGATTTTTAGTTTTTGATAAAGATTGAGGCTTTATGATCCGGAATAGTTTCTTATGAGTTTTATTTATGCTTTGAGGTTATTTTGTCTAGATTTGAGCCGTCCGGAGGTTATTTCACCCGAGAAGTTCATTTTTGAGTATCGGTTTGTCTTCTTTGAGGTAAGTATCTTGTCTAACCTTGTGTGGGGGAACTATCGCTTAGGATTTGGGTCTTATATGCTAATTATAGTCCGTGTACGTGAGGTGACGAGCACGTGCTCGGACTTATTTTTGGAAAATTGGCCTTTTAGGTTTCTTAGGTCCTTGTATTCACTGATTATGCAATTGTTATATTATGAATACATCTATTAATTACTAGTTTCACCTCTACCTGCTTTAGTTATAATTAATTGCTTCATGATCCACTCTTGTTGCTTATTTGATTCATCCGTGCCTTAACTGAAATTGTTATCTCTTCTATTAACATATTATTCTTTCCTAACTACTTATCTTTGTTTGAAGTTATAATTATCTCTTCTGCAATTGTTCACCCTTAATTGAGGCTATGATAATCTTTCTATTGCCATGCGATTGTTGTTATTGTGATGCACGAGGTTTCTACCGTGCGATTGTTGTTATGGGGTTGCACGAGGTTTCTGTCATGCTATTTTTACTATTGATATTTGCACATGCGGTATGACAAT